AGCAGCAACGAGGCATGGGGGACTGCGAGCGATACGCTTAAACCATCTGCATTTGCACAGCGTTTGGCAGGAGAAGCGAAAAAAGAGAGGCAGCGAGGTCTGGGGTATAGCAAAGGGAATGCATATCAATGAGTAAAAGTCACTGAACCAATTTACAAGGCATTAGTGCACTGGCTGCCAGAGCTAAACCCCTTAGCAGGAATTCGTTCAGAGCAGCTCTCGCCACCCTCCCATTGGCAAATGCTCAGGCACGCTCAGCCCAGCTTCCCGAGCAGCTTTTGTATGAACCTGGCTGCTCTCCCTTCCCCACGTGCTGCCTTAGCAAAACATAGATCCGAAATCCTACGGCCTTGGAAAAGGTGGCAAAACCCCCATGGTTTGGGCCCCTGTGAGGCCCTGCCGCAGCGCCCACGTCAGGCGCATCCTGCTGCGGCCCCAGGGCTCCCGCTCGCTCCCGCGGCCCCCGGGGCGGACAGAGGGACCCGGCCAGGGATGGAAGGAAAGCTTGGGCTGCAAGGGGCATCGGGGAAAGCACTGGATATATATGGGTCATTTCATGTCCTGTAAACACACAGCAGAGCTTCCCTTCCAGGAACTGGTTATTCCCAGGGGCTTGCGTGGCACTGGCCCAGGCCCTGGTGAGAAACGTCCTTTCTCTGGACACTTGGCAAGCGGATAAAGTGGATCACGATCAGGAAAGACAGAGAGGTGAATGATATCCAGAGGTCAACCCTGCAAGGAAGCCTGAGTCTAGGACTTGCCTTCTTGGAAACCTGCCATTTTCACCCTTAATGCTGTAGAAATAGATCCCCAGGAAAATCCGTCTCTGCACTTGATCGGCCTCATTAACACCCAAAGTCCCAGAGCTGTTTGCGTGCTGCTACCCTTAGGATGGCATGTCTATGAAGTTTGTGGTCTTCTACTCAGCCTATCAGTTGTTCATCAGGCAGCAATCTCACTTTCATACCTCTTCACAGAACAAAAACAGACAGAAAAGTTAGATTTCAGTCTTTTCAGACTTTCCTGAAAGCAAAAGCAACACCATTTTAACCTTCTGAAAATTTCACCTAAAATCTTTTGTTCTAGAGCTTCCAAGCAGATGAGAGATCAGCCAGATGAAGGAGCACCAGGTTCGACCTTCCAGGACAGATGCAGTTAAATGCAGTGCACGTGGCACATCCCAGGAGTGGCGTGTGGAAACAGTTCCAGAGCCAATCCAGAGCTATCACGTGTGGAGCAAGCACCCAATTCCATCAAATTCCATCAGCCTGAGAGGAAATGTCTCTGCCTTTTTTTTTTTTTTAAAACACATTTTACATTACATAAAATATAGAGCACTAGTTTTTTTGTTTAAAAATCTGACCAAAGGAAGCTGAGTCAGCTCCACACCTCAGCCCTGGACAAAAAGGAAGCCCATTACTAAATGGAAATGCCCAAGGACACTGCACTGCCCTGATTAAAAGTCCCAGAAACAACAAGAGAACTTTCTGCAGAGATTAAGCCTTGCACAGGGAGTGGTGATTGCTCATTTTTAAACTCAAACTAATGGTATTTCCAGAGAGGACTCACACAACCTCCAGCTCCAACCACACATTTAAAATGGGAGGGGATTTTGCAATGATTATCCAAGCTGTTCAGAATTAGTATTTTAGTAGGTTTATTTTTACAGCTGATATAAAGCTTGCTCTCTCCTTTACTGTAATTCTTAGCCAGAAATAAAAATACTGACACAAGTATTACTACTGTGATTAAATTTCAACTCTTGGCAGAGCTTTACTTGCACAGTAACATGCAGGTTTTAGGAAGGCAGACTTCGAGGTCTAGCCTTTATATATTACACTACAAAAGCATTCCTCAGCTGTACTGCCAAGTGTAAAACCCTTCTCCAGTGAGGGCAAAATATTGGAACAACTGCTTACGAGAAATTAAAATACCATTAGTTGCAGCTGTGTCAATAGCTGTCTTTGGTTTTGATGACTATACTTATTAAGAAGGGCTTATTTATCATATATAATTTCACTGGATCTAGAATTACTTGCAAAGAGGGAAAAAGAACACATGCTTGCTTAGTGAAAGGCATGAGCTGCTCTAACAATTTCACTGGACTTCTTGCTGGCTGGGAAAGCATTGAATCTGTTCCTAAAATTACACATATTTTTGAGGAGAACATCATAGACCACTAACCAGATGGGACAGCAAACAAGTATTATAGTGAAAAACTGAAACAAGCTGCAATCAAAAGCTATCGTCTTAAATGTCATCCTGCTTTGCTGGGTACACTGGAAGTAAACAAATTTGAGTTCCAAATCACCTAACAACCTCCTCAGCAATAAATATAATTCTGATGCAAACTTTAATCTCACATTTGTTCTACACAGTTATCAGTGCTATTAACTCATCTAATTACCATATTTTTATATAATGTAATATATAGATATTTTATATATAATATTAACTCATATTAATAGATAATATAATATTAACTCGTCTAATACACTCAGATGTATCAATGTACAATGAGAAAAAGTTGAGTGTAACAGAGATAGCACAGTAAATGAAAGCTGTATCTGTCCGTTATAACACATTGCTCCTTTTCTATAGTAGCAAGGTGACAGTTAATAGCATAGAGTCAGAGAAACATCAGATTCAAACCATACAAAAAGTAGTTTCAAGGCAAAGTTGAGTTTTATCCAAGACTACAATCACTAGCATAGTGAAGTAATTACGGAATATTAGTAATACAGAAGATTTCTCAGACATCAGCATTTAAGTAATACAAGGTAAAACTATGATATTTCTTAGGAAGAGAGGCTGATCCAAGCCAGATGGATCTAAGCAAGGTACCATAAGCTCAAAAATCAGCAGCTAATGAACATCTGTGGGAAACCCCCCGGAGAAAAGCAGGCAAAGAGGCCGGAACAGCTGGACAGACCAAGGAAGAGAACTCCGTGTCCAGCAATGCTGAACAGATAGGGGGAAGAGGCTTGAGGTCATTTGGAAGGAGGAACTTTACAGCAGCAGAAACACTATAAAATGCCAACTAAATAATTACTGCCTCTGTTGCTTGTGCCACCAGCTCCTCCGTTCTGCAGCTGGAGTCATGGAGAGGCAGGTGAGCAGACCCGCCGGCGCTGTCTGATCAGGCACAGGACATCTCCACTAAAAAATCTATATTCAACTTACTGTATTTTCAGTTTAAAATATTACACACTTGCCTGCCAAAGCAGCCAATCTGCAAACGATCTTTCCAAAGTCTTACAATTTGGTCTTGATGATAAAGAGAAGAAAGTGTGAGAGTCCAAGGACTAGAAGAAAACGTCCTGGCTGACACTCCAGGCACCTGAGCACAGACATTGCCTAGAAAGAAAGTGAGGAAGTGTTGGGATTAACCAGAGGGAGTGAGACAGTCTGAACGACTAGGAGCTTTGCCTCCTTTTGGAATAAGTATGCAAAGATAAACTGCTTATCCAATAAAAACTCAGTGCACATTTCCACATAGCCAGTACTTAGAGAGAAGACTTATCTCTTTGGTAGAGATGAAATCTATAAAAGAGAACGTGAAAGGTTTTGAGATATTAAATAGGATAAAAAAAAATTAAATGAAAGTGTCTTTCTCAGAGCTTATAAATGGTTTCCAGCTATTCTATTGAGCTCTAAAACACAGTGTGTTGAAAATGCCTTTGGAAACATTCTCATTTCTCTCCTTGAACTTTTCAATAGAGATAAAACAAGTCACCTAACACAAAGCTGATTTAGCAGGCATCAAAACAGATCTTGATAATCTAGGCCTGTTGCCTCAGGACATACACAGGGAACACAGAGCTATTTTCTTTTTTTTTTCTAAGCAATGGACGTGAAGGGTTCTCTTGCCCTCATCCTTTGTTTAGATTAGCTAAATAGTCTGCTTACTGCTGAGTCCACTGATAGGAACATCAAAGTGTAAATACATCATATCTGTGACTGTTGTCTGCACTGGGTACCACTTTATCATAGGGCTATATCCTGAACAGATAGTTGCAGTTCCCTGGAAAACTCCTATCAACATCCTCCCTGCTCTTCTCTCAGCAATGAGATAGGAACCGCTTGCTTTCTTGTAAGGAGACTTAATTCTAGTTGGTCTGCTTAAATGAGACTTTGAAAAATGTCTACTCATTAGTTGCTTAACCTTCCTGAATAATTCATGTATCAAAATTTTAAAAGAATCATTCATCTCTGCTGCTGCATGTCATAAAAATGTGAAATAATCTAACCAAGCTCAGCCTTGTAGAAAGCTAGGAAATCAATCCCATCACCTCTGCTGGATTGTGATGACAAATAGGGGCAAGAGAATATTTAACTGTGGACCATGATTATTTAAAGTCCTACTTAATATACGCTGAACATTTTCCTACATTTATTATAAGTGTTTGGGGGGGGGGGGGGGGGGGGGAAGAGTTGTGCTGTAATCCACATGTTTCCAGCAGTGTTTTCTCTCAGGAGACCAACCTCCATTACTTTTTTGTGGGTTTTAGCTGTGATATTTTATCTGTGAAAAATACATCATTTTCTTATTCAGAACTGATCAACTGAGAGCTCTAGCTGTTTTTGCTTGCTAGTATAAAGTTCTTTCAGGTCAGATTTTCAGGCCAAATTGCTTTAAAAAATCCTGTTTGTGCAAAACAGACAAAGTCTGTACTGATCAGGTATCAAACAGTATTTGAAGTCCCAGCTTCAGATTTTGATGATTCCTAAAACTTAAACTCTGTACAAGACGACACTAAATAACACACCAACTTTGCATTTCTCTTAGAGGCAGTTTCTTCCTATTCAGCTACCTCAGAGTGAGCAACAACAAAGTAGGTAGAGCAATAAGGCTAAGTTTATCTCACTTCCTACACTCCCTTAGCTCACTGTACTACCAAAACTTTGAACAATAACAGGATGCCGGAATGCGGAATGGGAAAAAAAGCCCACTCCCAGCTGGAAAGCCTTGGAGACGAGCAGAGCTGAACACTCCCAGTATTGCTTAACGAAGAAAGAAGGCAATTTTGCTATTTGTTCACTTTCCTTGTCCTGCTTAACGTTTTGGGATACCGTGGATGTGAACCTGCCAAATCGGGAACACACGGAAGCACCAGCGGCTCCAACTCAGGTAAGCAATAAGCAGTATTTGCTGCTCTTCAGCTGCAAAGTTAATTTACCTCCACCAAAAATCTCTTCTGATGTCTTAACTTCAGAAACATCAATGGTAGGATATACCCACAGCACCATTTGGGTTCGATATTGCTGGCACTGAAATCAAATTAAGCGTAGACAGCAATAGAACTGCTCACAATTTACTTCAGAGGAGGAAAATCTCTGGCTCTCTTGCACTGTAGCACGATGCTCCCACAGTGTTTAAAAGAAGGGATATATTATCCTTTAACCTTATATTATTCTTTTTTGTAGTTCTGGTTCATAATATTCATATTATGTTCTCAGTGGTATTCACAGTGGAAAAAGGGCAGAAATGGTAACGCAATCTGCACCTGTAAACCTTTATACACTGATTTCATTTGCAGAGCGGACAGTCCCGGGCTCGGTGTTGTTTTAGGGAGCAGGTGTGGGCTACGGTAGGATTTGATGCCACGTGTTATGGAAAAGGAAGAGTTGTGCAGGCCGCTGCCGTGCTCCTCAAAGGTGCCACGGCCTTCGGAAGACCAGCAGGAGGAGGAGGTGAAGATGTCCATACGCAGATGCCCATACGCGGCAGCCTCCTGCAGCGTCTCGCTGAGCGCGACGCTGCTCAGAGCTCGCACCAGCCTCTCCCAAGCCCCACTCCAGCTTGGCTCGGGCACCCTGGAGGCTAAGGCCAACAGCCAGGCGTACGGCCCCATCTGAAAAGATCAGCAAAATTCATTTTACAACTTTCTCGTGCTCAGTTGTCCCCCAAAATATTATGCTTATTATGCATTACTGAAAAAAAACAAACCATTTACGCATAAGGGATTAACAGATCCTGCTTTCCCTGTTGGGATTCTGTTCTGCAATAGTGGGACAGCCTGCGTGCACAGTGCCTTACTATGCTGGTTCTCATGCTATAATAAAGATAAAGGCTAGAAAGAAATGCAAGGAAGAAAGATATGGAAGAAGATGAATTTCTGCAAGAAAATCTGTTCTACTCTCAGGTACTGAAAGCATTAAAAGTCGGGTGCTACTGCAGTTAACAAAGGTATAGTTAATCAATTCCTGCCTCCTCTGACTGTAAATCACTACATTCGCATTTGTAAAAGCATTTGGTATTACAGATGTGCATGATAGCAAAAAATATGAGACAAAAGCAAGGATACTCCGGTAATTTAAAAAAGCTTCTCATCTTACCTTAACTTGTGCCTTGTCACAACAACCAATATACCAGAAACAAATCACAGAAATGCTGACTTGCAATTTATCTGAGATACCTCCAGAAGCCTCTTTCTATCCGTAAATAAAAGGTGACCAGCAGGAGAACAGGACACAAGATTAATTCAGCATGTGAAAACCTTATAGTATGTGAAGTTGGGAACAATAAAACAAATGAATTGGAAAGCAAGAGATAAACTCTATTAACAAATCATTTCTGCTCTGTTCACAAAAGTGGGGGTTATTTTTGGGAAGGCTACAGTGTTGTAACAAGAAATATTTCCCAGTGCTCAGCTTTATAAGATAAGGTAATAGAAAACTGCAAGAATGGTTTCCTAAACATTTTAAAATAACACATGCTAACGCTGAAATTATGCCTTAATTTAGTTACACATCATTCAGTGATCTGTAGCTTGCACAAGGCTAGATACATGGTTCGAAGTTAAAGAGAGAGCTTAAGCAGAGAAAGTTCCACTTAAATAGTTAATAGCTTTACTGCCAAAAGAAAGAACAGGTTTGGTTCATATCCTGCCTTTGTTGAGCGAGACAGAACTGAAAACAGGATATAGGTAAAAATTGCTGGTTATGGTTTAGAAGCTCATCTGATTTACAGCTCTTACAGAACAAAGGAATGATCCAGAAATCCATATTTCAATTAATAGTTCAAACAAAACTTTAAAAAAAAAAAAAGAAAAATCATTAAAAAGTCTTTTTTCTTATCAGTCTACAGAAAGAGAGGCTTAAATCAGTCCAGTTAAAGCCCTGTATTTTCTAATAAGGCAGAGGTTCACAGGAGAGGGATAATTGATTTCTAGCAGCTGAGTTTTTTATAAGGTATCTTCATGGATATTTTTACCATGTGCTCATAATTCTGATTTTGAGTTCTAGAAGTTTGATTCTAGAGGTCCAAATGTTAGCACAAAGCAAGAAAAAAATAGTTCTTTGTGGCAAAATTTGTTGGATAAGAAAAATGTTTCAGTGTATTTTTTAAAAAACAAATGCCTTGACCTTTGTTATCCTTGGGGATGTCCTTGCTATCCCTCAGGGTTCGGAATTCATCAGGCTGTTTCCCTTCTACCCTGGCACACAGGGAGCAGGGAGTGATTATTTGTGTAAGGCGGAGATATCAGCAGCACGCAGGGGATGGAGACGCGGTGGGACACGAGGAGAGATCCCCAGCGCAGGGCAGGGAAGGGCGCCACACACGCAGCTCCCCACGCGCGCCTGGGAAAGGCTGCTGGGCCTCCAAACCGGGAGAACAACCCTCAGTGAGACCCAGGGGCGACTCTGGTCTGGCCCATGATGAGGAGGAGTTTGCCCAGTTCATCGGCTGCCCTCTCAGAGCGCCCTCCTCATATCCCGTTGGAGCTGCCCCCTCCAACGCGGGATTTGCGGGGTGCAGGTGGCTCCCCACGCTGCACGCAGGGCCCCGAGCCTCGTCATGCACACAGGGAACCCCAACTGCTCAGCACCACGGGACCGAATGCCTTCGGCCGCCCTGCCATGCTTCCAAGTAAGGAGATGCTTTGGTAGGATCCGTCTTCCTTTCCATTTCCCTTCATGATGCCATCCGTTAGGAATCTGCGCTCTGGAAACGCCTCGGAGGACAAAGCCTAGCCTAGCACGTAGTGCCTCAAGTGACAAAGGGGCGACGCGGCTCTGATGCAAACGATAGGAAATCCTGCCACTAATGGAATTGTTCCTGTGCTGGGTTCAGCTCCATAGGCAGATTCTCCTCGGCACAGATTAGGTTTGCTTATCGGATCTTTTTGTGGAATATTCCCTCCTCACCACCCCAGGCCTAGACCTCAATTCAGGGAAGATCTGCAGGAAGTCACTGGGAAAGACGCTTTACCCCACGGGTACAGAGGGCCTGAAACAAGGGCACTCCGACAGTCATTTCCTATGACCACCTACTGCGGCTTTAATCTGCTCCTAGAACCAAACTCTCCCGAACACTTCGGTTGTTCTGGTTTCCCTCCAACACTGGGACTGGGGCTGTAACACCCTAACAGGCTGTAACAGGCTAACGACCTGTTTAAGCCAACGCAAAGCCATGGAGCAAAACACAACTCTGTGTTGAATTACAATCACTCCAACAGAGAAACAAGAGCATACAGGGAAAAGAGCCTAGCTCTAAAAACACCCTTCCTCCTCTTTTAAGTCTCCTCTTTTTGAGGCTTGAATTTTCAGGCTTTCCACCTTCTTTCTATCAGCACTGTAAGCTGGAAATTTGCTTCTCTAGTTTTGTTTTGACTTGAAGCTGAGATTTCCCTGACTCCAAGAGCGAAGCTCTAAGTAAAAATATTGAAAGGCTCGTGATAAATTCATAAGAGCAGTAATCATAATATAATTTGTATCAACACGTGGACATTGTAACAATGGAAATGTTCCCAAAAAAGACTAACTATAGGGGTGGGTAAAAAAGGTCTTAAAGTTAATTAAGCCTGGGCTGGAAGTCCAGCTGAATAAGGGCAGGAAATAGAGAATAATGAACTGACATTTGAATTAGACATTTAAAAAGGGAGAAAAATACTGAATACTAAATACACAGAAAATGTATCCAGACACACCCTGCCTTCTAACCTCTTGGCCAGCCAGAAAACCAGTGATTCATGTGTGTGCATGTTTGCTTTATCTACCATAAAATTAATGTGCAGGGAAACACTAAAGCATTTTGCTACACAGTAGAATAACATGGACAAAAAAAGTAGAGCACGCACACACTTAAACATCTTTCCTCTGCTCCCGATTGCTATTAGTGCAATAAATATCAATTGCTGTGACCTATGCATGATGCTTGTTAGAGACAGACTGTACTTCTGCTCCCTGAGCTTTTGTTGAAGGAAAATGTCAAAAAAAAAATCTTATCTGCTGTAAACACAGCTTCATTGTACTTTTTTTTTTTTAATATTATATTTATGGCATGCAGTTCCACAAAGGATGGGGACTTTTCCTTAATCAAAGCTACTCAGTCAGAGCTCTGTGCTAGGAAGCTTCTCTGATAAAACTAAAGGTTTTATCTGGAAACAAAGGAGGACGGGAAAAGCTCCGTGATCCCTTATTCTCAGAGTGCACCTTCCTTTGTTCCAGCTCGGACAACCTCTTAAGCATTCAGTGGCAGCCTCAGCTAATCCCTGCGTACAGCACAGCTAACCAGAGGGGCACCACCCGATCCCATCAATTGTGAAACGTGCACCAAAGTCATGGTAGGAGACAGGTTCTGATCAGAGATGCTTGAGACATCCTGTAGCCCCAGAGGTGGCCCAGGCTGCACTGGCACCACCGGAGTAACTCTGGGGGTCCCTTGCCCTGCTCCCTTCAGCCCCTGAGGAGCCCCGGGGAGCTCCATGCTGGGACCCCAGCCCCGCTGTCCGGTCGCTGCTGCTGGAGTCACCCCACCTTGGGCTAAACAAGCAACGAAGGGGGAGGCTGGATCCACATCCGCTCCAGACAGCACCCAGGACTCACATTCACTGGCCAAACTGAGCAGTTATATCCGTAATGCAAGGCAGCTCCAGCAGAAACCTCTGAAAGAGACCGAACCTCAAGTACTATCCTCATGGTCAGAGCATTAAGCTATTGCTCTTTCTGAAGGAGTGGTCTGTCTCTCTGATTTTGCCTACAAACACCATTCTGTAGAATTTTCCAACATCACTTGGACTGTGCTTAGGAATGAGTGCAAGATCATGGCTGAAAAACTGTCTGCTGTTCCAAACTGCGTCCTGGGTTTATTCCACCCATCTTATTAGATCACTTCAGAACAGAAGG